TTTTTTAGCTAATCTTTTAATTTTTTATTGATTCTTTCAGAAATTTCAAATCAATTTTTATCATATTAGACAATGGAAGTCCGAACTGATGAAATGCACCACGAAACATTATCAACTACCTTCAAACAAATATTTATAAGATTTCAATAGAGCACGGTTACAAATATAGTTATTTTAGAACTAACATATTGATGCAACTCAAGTAATCATATTGTACATTCTGAAATTATTTTTATCTCATTTTCAAATCCGACACGAAAAGATTTTGTCTTAAAATGAAGAGAAACTCATTCAACATTGAGAAATTATATACTCAATATATTTTTAGAAAATGTGAAACATTTCCATACTTGGCACAAAATATAGTTTGAAGCGAATTCATATGGAATAACGGGGTCTCTCAGTCAAAAAATCAAAAACTCTGCTTTACTTTGCCTTAAGGCAAAGTCTTCTTCGTATCGGCAGGTGTAGGCCAAGACTCACCGAACACACACCCTCTTATTGACGATAACTCCGCCGTAAACTCGCATAAGACATGCCTGACAGTTTCATTTTCCTGTTTACACATCTGCATAGAAGTATGTCCACTAGTCTAATCCTACTGTTGAGCGTAGGTTTTTCCTGGTCATCGCCAGATATTTCTTCGGTGCCAGCTTCCCAGGGTCGCCCAGAGTGAATCTGGCAAGACTACATCTTTTGATTCCATCCCATCTCTTTAGGGATTGAGAATGGGTGTGACGTTTGGCTAGTTCCGCAATTGTCGAAGGCATCAGGCCGTAGGTGTAACTGGGTCCTAAAATTCTTCTTTCTTGGCTAAACAGTAATTACTTTTACTCCTGTCGTGCCCTTTAACCCAATTCAGGATAATATTATTATCTATCAAGGCTTTGTCTAAATCTTGGAGGCACTCTAGTACTAGCCCTTAGGCTAGTTCAAGGCTAATAGGGCTCGTCTACTAGCAGTGCAGTTTGTAACGATTTTGTCATAAATTCCCTTTCTGGTTATTTCTTTTGTGGCGATTACCAGCCAGTTCTGTTTGAACCACGCTAGTATTTTTTCCCATTCCCCATTCAATCCTTAGGCTTAGTGCTCTGGAGTAAACTGATCATCCGGATCCTTCTTTGTTTTTTGAGTCGTCTGTATATATATATACGTATTGCATTTGTAGCATCTGACTCTGTGTTCTGTTCCATTTGTATTTTGTAGGGTTTATTAAACACAAACCTGGACTCATATGCATCACTGGCTGCCTGCAGCAGAGGTTGCGCAGTAAGCGCTTCTCGCCATAGACTTAGCCTCAATTGACCCATTCCTACTTCGGAGTTCACACCAGCCGTGTGCAATTGTAACATGTTCTCATGGCTCCTGTGATGTTTAAACAAGCCAATCGCTGTATTTGATATAATTTTTAGATGTCCGTTGCTTGTAGAACTTTTGAGCCCCATACAATGGCTCCGTACGTTAACGTAGGTCTTATTATTACAGTGCAGATCCAGGTGAACACACGGGGTGAAAAACCCCATATGCGTCCCACTGTCCTCCGACATTGCTCATAAGCCACATATGCTCTTTTTGCTCTACTTTGTAGGTGAGAGTTCCATGTTAGCTTCCTGTCGAGGATAGTACCAAGGTATTTCACCTCTTCAGAGGAGTTTAGTTTGCTTTTGAAGTTTTCAGGAGGTTTTAAGCCCAATAAACTTCTTTTTCTGGTGAAAAGGACCATCTCAGACTTCTTGGGATTAATCAACAGTGAGCGTTCCTCACACCATGTTTCATTAATTTGAGCCCATCCTGCGCTCTATCGCACAGTGTGTTCACAAATTTACCGGTCTGTAAGATAACTTTGTCATCTGCATATGCTATTGTATAGAATTCATTATTGTTGAGGTGATTAATCAGGTTATCCAGACTATGTTCCAAAGATGATAATTCCCCTCCCTGTGGACATCCCCTCATTCCATTCCATGACCATTCATTCATGGTCATTCCATGACCATTGATATTTATTACTCTAGGGAGTATCTTGATTATCCATTCCCCTACTACCACGGTTAAATTCCTGGAGTTTAGTTGCTGGGTAATTGTTGGAAAGGTTGTTTTATCAAACGCTCTCTTAAAATATTTGTTGTCCAATGATCTTTCGATCCTGCCAACCATATGGTGAAGAGCCGAATCAGTAGACCTTGCCGGAGTATATGCATGCTAATTTGGATGAAGTGGGTTGTGACCTAGTTCTTCATCTCTTATGTACCGCTCACATAGCCTCTCCATAGTTTTTAAAATGAACGATGTGAGACTAATACCGAAATGCTTTCGGTAAGGTGTAGTCCATCCTACCTGGTTTGAATATAAATACCACTCGTACTTCTCTCCACTTACTGGGAATATATCTCTCGGAATTAAGTAGGCTCTGAAAATTTGAACTAGGTGCGGCATAAGCCTAGAATATCCATTCCCATTGAAGTTGGGCTGGTCTTATACCGTCGGTTCCTGGTGAGTTGAAGGGGGAAAAGCCCGATATGGTCCATCTTTTCTTGTCCTCATCAATCACTGCACTTGCAGATTGCCAGTTGTATTGTGAGGGTGTTATTGGTACTTCCGTCCAGTTCATCGTTCCAGGAAAGACAGAATCTGGGAAGTGAGTTTCCATAAGAATATCAGCGCTCTCTTTGAGATTGGAGGCTTTGTCGCCATTTTCGCTCGTCAGGATGCCGATATTCTTATGGCGGTCTTTTGAAAGTGCCTTCTGTAGCCTAGAAGCTAGTGGGAAGTCTTCCATTGCCTCGCAATAGGCTCTCCAAGCNCCAGCCCATACATAAAATAAAAACCTCCAAAAATTGAGATGAACAGAATATAAGGGTTTGGCATATTCATATCTGGATATTCTCAAATTTATAGAAAAATGTCAACTTCATCTATGGATCGCCTTAAGTCTCGAAAAAATTCTAAAGATAGAGAAAAACGAAAATCTCAAACTGGTTCAACGGAACCTAATTCTAATGATAAGGGACACTCCTCAAAAGTACCTAGGTAATATGTTTTCTAAGAGATCTTATCTGTAAAAAATGTTTCAGGATTCCAGGCAATATGCTGGCATTGGTCCCGAGTCTATATGTTTATATGCAGAACAGTCCTCATATGAACATTTGTCTGATGAGATTTGTAATACCTTAGCAGAAGATATCAATTATAAATTACGGTATATTATTCATGTTAGAACTTTGCTCGAGAAGTAAAACTGCATTTGACAAAATATTTTTTACAGGAGGCTCTGTTGAAATCTAGGTTATGTGGAAGAGATGTTATTATATCCCAGGATATTGACGAAACATTTGAAAATTTGTCTATAGAGAAAGTGTATGGAGCCCCTTCAAGTCTGAATTGGGTACCTTCTGGTGATGTTGGTGATCAAAATTTTCTTTATCTGAATGTAAGTACCACCAAAGTTTGAAATGCACCTTATTTGAAAATAGAAATAGTACTGTTACTGACAAATTATTCATTTGTGTTTGCAAAATTAAAAAAATGTGGTTGTCATTGCCATGTTTAAATTTTGATTTAGATGAAGTACTGTGTTTAATTGATAATTACATTTATTGAGTAGGAATCAATAGTATACAAATATTAAAAAAGGTATAGAGTTACTTATTTTCAAATTGATTACTTCCTTCCTTTCTTTGGAAGATTCCCACATTTTTTTGTAACAAGATGGAGTAGTAGAAAGCCAAAAACTTTCTTTCCCAAAAATTAATCACTCCTAAAAATATAACCCCTTCAATTCAATTAAAAAAGGTATACTTGACAGGTAATTTCATCATCTTAATTCATTAAATCATTTCATTATTGCTATTTTATGGAAACATAACCTACATCATATAATAGTACCAAAGATGGTTTTGACAGTCTTGAAAAATTGAAATTGTAGGAAAAAATACATCAGAAAGTGAAGCTTGATCATAAGCGAACTTCAATAAGTTACTTTTGAACACGTTCAACAAACATTTTGATTTTCTATTTGGTTATTCATTGAATTTTATAAAACCATTGAAAAAAAGTGAATTCATCTCACTTCCAATTTTTTTCCTGGCCGCATGCACAATGTTGATGAACTTTATTGACAGTGATATTGACAGTACGGTTCTTTTACCCGAGATCAATTTCTCAGTACCAAGAAGTGAAGGTCGACACAATCTAAAATTCTATTGTGAAGCATCACTCACAAATATTATGCTACGGTCACCATTGAATTTTATGTGCAGTAGCTTCAATAAAATCTGCGACATTCATTTCTTTTACTGAAATCCACTGTAATGTAGATAACATTGTGCTAATTGCTGTATTTCTTGCTTTTTCAAAAAACGAAGGGTACCTACTGAATTATTTTAAGAAGTTTCATTTAATATTTTTCTCTTGATCTTTGAAAGATATACAGGGTGAGTCAGAATAAGACCGACAAACTCCGACTCACCTCATTTTGAGATGAAAAGTTGGTATCAAGGTATGTTCTAAAATGTATCCCTCTATACAGGGTGTCAAAAGTACGAAAAAAAATTAGATTCATTTATTTTTCTCTAAAACTCCTGGAGAGAAAAATTCAAACTTGATGCACTAATCAAGGTTTATCAACGTGATAATTTAAAGTTATAATTTTTAATTTTCGTTAACTAATGGCATAGTTACGATGGTATGTAGTCATAATTTCCCACATATTTTCTTTGGATAACTGAACTAACAAATGAGCATTTGACATAAGTTAGTGTCATCGATACTCAACCTAAAAGTCATAACATTCCATTTGCCCAAAAGTGAAGCTTTCTGAGATATTTGCGAAAAACTGAAGATATTTCCTTCGAAGACATAACATCCTGTGTGTAATAATCATATAATGCAACTTCCTTATAATATATAGGAATAATTGTCAACCTTCAGGACATTTTTAATGTTGGGAGTGTTCAGAACATAGTACAGGTAAGTCAGAATGATACCGACAAACTCCGTTTTTTTTATTTGTCATTTTATTTGAAATACTTGATTTCGTAAATTCACCGATATGTGACCATACATTTTTGCATAATCACTTTGAAAAATCAACTGACAAATCCAGCCTCAAATTTCAATACACCTGTTAGATGAGAGTTAAAGCCTAGAATAATATTTGCGAAAAACTGAAAATAAGTACTCTTAATTTGTTAAATTTTATGTTGGAGTGTCATTATCAAAGTCATTTCATACTGAATTATTAAAAAGAATATTTTCCAATCATCATGTTTTTTGAAGAAAAACAATTATTGTGTATCATTATCTACTCAAATGATAGAAACGGTTAATAGGGTATACTACATAGAAACAAAAAAAGGCTTAAAGTAAATGTTCAAATGAACCACCATTTTGTTCGATAGACAACTGGCATCTCCGTACCATTGACTGTCGCACGCTTTGGAATATTTTTGGTGTATCATGTATTAATGTACATGCTGCTGAAATTCTTGCCGTTAAATCGTAAACAGATTCTACAGGAGTCGAATACACCAGGTATTTTAGGTATTCCCACAAAAGTCTAGTGATGTTAAATCCGGAGAACGTGCAGGCCAGTGTATGGGACCACATCTAACTATCCGCCAATCATGGAATGTTTCATCAAGAAATTGACGAATGACTCGTTGAAAATGGGCCGGTGCTCCGTCATATTGAAACCACATCCTTTCACGAATTAATAGAGCTAATTCTTCAAGTAGCTCAGGTAAAACATGTTCGAAGAAACTCGGTAGTTCTGTCCATTCAAACAGGGAGGAAGAAGATATGGTCCAACGATATGTTTTTCGATAATTCCTACCCAAATATTGACTGGAAACTTCTGTTCATCCCATAAATGGCTATTCCTACTATTGAAATACCCTTCTCTTGTGAAACTTGCCTCATTCGTGAATAAAACATATCTGGAAAAGTCGTTTGCTTCTTCGTACATCCTTAAAAACCATTCATAAAATAATTTACGAGGACCATAATCACCAGCATCTAGGGCCATCACCTTCTGCAGGCGAAATGGGAACAATAGTTGTTCACGTGCTACCAGACTTACTGTTGATTATGACACTTGTAAACTATACGAAATGGCCCGAGTGGTCGTAGAAAGATCTGTTGCTAATTGATAAAGAATTTGTTCTTCCGTAACATTATCTCTTGTTCTATTCGTACCACTATGAATTTAAAGGACCCCGTTTCCTTCAATCGTCGATGCACAGCAATAAAAGTAGTGAAATGTGGATGAAGTATGTTTGGATATCCATTTTGATATAATGCAGCAGTGACTCTGGCATTTCCCCCTGTTTCATCATTAACGAAATGAATATCTGTATATTCTTTGAATAAATAATCCATTTTGACACGATCTTTACTGACTGAAAAGATGACATCAATACAAACTTGTTTGGGTTACTGTCAATCATATCTAATGTAAGTATCAATATATGAGTTTGTTTCTACCACGAACGATGACAGTCTAATTCAGACTGATCCGAACCATTTTTTCAGTTCTTCCATTAGCTTCAGCTTTTAACTTCTGAGGATGATTACTAAGACAATTGACTATACTGTTCCTAAATTATTTTTTTCGATTCGTGATAACTAATTGTAAAATCGAACTTTCCAGGCTAGTTTGTATGCCAATGGTCAATGCATAAAAATACACGAATTTTTTAATCTTTTTCTTCTTCAAAACCATATGCTGAATGGATTAATTTTCCTCGATAAACTAATTTGAAAAGGCTCTAAAAACGATACTCCAACATAAAATTCAAAAAATCAAAGAGTACTTATTCTTAGGATTTCCTCAATAATTGGGTTCAGATCTAAACTCTTATTTGAGTGGAGTACTATGAATTTAAAGTTGGGTTTGTTTTTCAGTTGACATGTCAAAACAATCATATGCAAGAAAGTATAGTAGCATATCAGTGAATCTACGTCATCAAAATTCGACCAAATAATATAATGAATGAAAAAATGGAATTGTCGGCGTCATTCTGACTGGCCAAATTATGTTTTCGATTTTGCCTACATTAAAAAATGTTCTGAAAGTTGACAAATATTCAGATATGTTGTAAGAAATTAGCATTATGCGATTATTGCACATAGGAAATTACATTGATACTCAGGACATATCTTCAGATTTTCTCAATTATCTCACAAACCTTCACTTTTAGATGCATAGAATGTTACGACTTTTAGGTTGACGATCGATGAGCCTAACTTATGTCAAACACTCATTTATCAATTCAGTTGTCTAAAGAAAATTCGTTCAAATAATATAACAAATAAAAAAAAACGGAGTTTGTCGATCTCATTCTGACTTACCTGGACTATGTTATGAATACTCCCAACATTAAAAAAACGTTCTGGAGGTTGACAATCATTCCTATGTTATGAGAAAGTTGCATCATGTGATTATTGCACACAGAATGTTATATCTCTTCTCAGGACATATCTTCAGTTTTTCGCAAATATATCAGAAACCTTCACTTTTAGGGAAATGGAATGTTATGACTTTTAGGTTGAGTATCGATGACACTAACTTATGTTAAATGCTCATTTGTTAGTTCAGTTGTCTAAAAAAAATATGAGGGGAAAATATGACCATTTACCATCGTAACTACGCCACTGGTTTACGAAAATTAAAAATTATAACTTCAAATTATCACGTTGATAAACCTTGATTAGTGCATCAAGTTTGCATTTTTTGCTCCAGGAATTTTAGAGAAAAAAATCTAAATTTTTTTCGTACTTTTCACACCCTGTATCTCAGAGGCGATTCATTTTAGGACATACCTTGATAGAAACTTTTCATCTCAAAATGAGGTGAGGAATCTGTAGTCGGAGTTTGTCGGACTTATTCTGATTCAGCCTGTATATTTGAAGCTTCTTCAGTGAGTTTATGCTTATGACAGTAAATCATATTTATTATTCCTGGTATTATTCATTTTTAGGATACCGAAATCAATATGATAGAACTAGCAGAAGCAGAAAACACATATGCCCAACACGGACACGTAATGCTGACAAAAAAGTGGTTTCCAGATCCTGACCTCCTGGAGCCCAGCCAAGCACTACGAAATTACTTCGTTACAGTTTGTGAAACTGTGATAAGCAATGATGAGGAATTAAGATGGATGGCATTGAAAGACATAAGCGAGAATCCTCGGATAGGTCCAATAACAGATTGGTTCTACAATTTTGGATACTTGTTACTCATGAAAGATATAACCTATGATTCTTTTACACTTTGTGCATTAGATTTAATCGAAACATTAGAGAACAGCCCTCTGAGCAGCAGTACTGTTTCAGTCAAACAGTTAAAGTTACTAGTCAGACTGTTACTGCAAAGACTTTTATTATCCTCAACTTCAAGGGCTATCCTGAGGAAAATGTGCTCTACTCTTGCTGTTTTATGTTTGAGGATACCATTAAAAGAAATGACTATTGCTAAAATTAATCAGAAGTTGGATGGCCTGCCACAGGATAAGATTTTAGCTGTAGTAATGATCATATACTTCCTTGGGAGTGAAGCTATTGAGAAGATATTTATTCCTAATGTCATTTACTTTTTGAACATCTTAGGAACAGAACATGATTTTGAGATGATATATGTAATATTGGTAAGTAAATTGATGGATGTAGCTGTTACTACGTGGTAGGAAATCATCATGAAAAATGAGAGTTGAAACTTTGTTTTTTACCACTTTTATTTGTAACGTTACTGCATTTTCGTCTTATAAGGACATTTTCAAGCTTATACAATCAACTAAAAATGATTGATTACATTAGCCCTCATATAACACCACTGTAAGTAATAACAGAGGTACTTAACTTAATTGAGTATCTGAATTTTGTTTACCTGTGACAATGTGGATACGCTAATTTGAAAATCGGTGAGTAAACTAAATCGATTTGATCATTTAATAGGTTGCAACCGCAATGTTTATGTTAATGGATTTCCAAGGATTCCAAATAATTGAGTTTGCAACCCTTCCTTGCATAGTGCACGATTTCTGTATCATTTAGATTCGGGAAGTTGTGGTTGCATCCCAAGGAATGGTTTGAAAAAGTCGAATCATTTTTACCTAGTCTGAAGAAACTTTCATCTTCAGTATACCATTTCAACGCAGACACAATCCAGAAATTAGTCTTAATTTCTATTGCAGATTAATATACCCCCAGATCAAACAATCAGAAATCAAGAAATGGGTGACTCTCAACATGTTTTGGTAAAAGAACAGATATAATTGCGGGTTTCTTCAGAAAAAACAATGTGGAAGTGGCATACAGGCCACATGCCAGGTTATCTTATTTCCTTTTCAATGCCAAAGATAAAGTAGACAAGTTGGAGAAATCTAGAGTTTATAAGCTCAAGTGTCCGGAGTGTAATAGTGTTTATGTGGGCAATGTGGTCGAAATTTCTCAAAACGGTATGCTGAACATGAAAGGTCCTTCAGACTAGTTAAAAATGATTTGACGTTTTCAAACCATTCCTTGGGATGCAACCACAAGTTCCCGAATTTAAACAATACGAAAATTTTGAACTGTGCAAGGAAGGGTTGCAAACTCAATTAATTGAAATCCTTGGAAATTTACAAGCATAAATATTGCGGGTGCAACCTGTTAAATGATCAAATCGATTTGGTTTACTCACTGGTTTTCAAATTAGCATATTCACATTGTCACAGGTAAACAAAATTCAGGTACTCAATTAAGTTAAGTACCTCTGTTATTACCTTTATTACCTACAGTGGTGTTATATAAGGGCTAATGTAATCATTTTTAGTTTAATGTATAAGTTTGAAAATGTCCTTATAGGACGAAACTGTAGTAGCGTTAGTTACAAATAAAAGTGGTAAAAACATAGAAAGTTTCAAGTCTAATATTGGTAAGACTTTCATTTCAATTGTAGGTATTCAAAGAAACAAATTCCCAATCATTTGTTACAAAAAATAAAAAGGAGGTTTTTGTCAAAATTAACAAAAACTCCCTGTAAACTCTTGAACACTGTGTACAACTTTTTTCAAGCACTTGACATGAATAATCTTTCCATGTATTTCTTATTTAATTAAAACTTCATCAGTCTCAAACATATTTCTAATACTTAATTTTAAAGCATATTTATAATACTTGAAGAATATTTCTCAACATTTCTTTTTGTAACTAGTGTGACTACTCTTTACATATTTCTATGAATGAACCAAATATCTAACTATTCAGCACATCAGAATATAATTACTCCTAGTCAACAAGATTTTTGTTCAAATTTTATTCCACTAAAACAGTGTTCATAGAATTAACCTAATACATTCATGGAAACATCAACTCAAACAAACTAATGATAATTTTTACGAAAATAGCCGCTCATTCTATACAATAAATTCCAGATTTTCAAAATTAAAGCTGAGAGCAATAGGCATTCGTGGACCCAGCCAATCTTGGATTGAATTTTATATGAATGGTACTAAATCTTCATATAGAACACAAAGTATCGGATGAAAATAGCGCCTTGACAACTTCACAAGGCAGACTACTGGGACTATTATTCTTCCTGAATGATTTACCTTATTACATCACAGATGCACAAGTATTCATCAATATAAATGACACCACTATTGTTGTATCAGCAAGTACATAGAAGAATTCAAAAATAAAATTGAATTAACTGTGAGGAAATTTGCCAAAGCTTTCTTATCGAGCTCTAATGAACCACCAAATGTATAATTCAATATTACTGACAACGAATTGTCGAGGTCACAAATAACCAAATTCCTTGACATCTGTTTAAAAAAAAATCTGTTTTTCCGTTAATCAACTGTCGCCCCCATACGAACGACAACTCTCAGAAGTTGAGAAACTTGTGCGAGCTAAGGACTAACGAGGTGTTCCCTTTTAACGTGTGATTCCTAACATAGAGCTGGATTCCAGATTAAAATTCTCCCCTATGCTCGTGTGATGAATTGAGCAAACTATATTTTGCTTTCATCACTTTGAAACATAATTTTCATAGAAGCTACCTGATCACATGCTTTAGTATAAATACGGCAGGATGAGTTGTAGCATTAGTGTATGGGAAAGGGCCACCGAAATATGTAAAAAAATAGTTATTTGGAAAGCTATAGGAATACTTTTAAAGAAAATGGAAGGCTTCACTTTCTATTTGAAGAAAAAAGTTGGTAGCGCCCTCTCGGCGACGAGCGATGCAACACTATTTTTTCTTATCAAAAATCATAGTTTTTTACATAAACTGACCGATCTTGATACTTTGTTCCCTTGAAATGTTTAGTGGGGGGGGGGGACTATTTAGGGCACTCTATTTTTTTTTTCATCTAATAAAATCAAAATAGTTTTGGAAATATTAAGGACAATATTATTGTAGCAGGTTTCTAATAATTCAATATTTTGTTGGGTATTAATCTGTAAAGACATTTCTAAATAGCAGTGAAATATAGGGATGACATCAGCAAAGTAAAATTTTCAGATTTATTTATTAATACCATTAATGGCCAAGACAAGAAATAGATGAAATTTTGACATTTTTATAAAACGGCATACAGAGACAAAATTAAGAACTATTCATATATCTTGATAGGGAGCGAAACAAAAAGCACATGAGTGCCTAATCGCACCTTGGACAGAATACAGTATAGTTATTTGCAATTTTAGAATGCCTGCATTTTTTCACTTGCACTGTTTGTTTCCCTTATTATTAGATGTTCAATCTCGTTAATCTCACAGATATTAGTTGGGCTGCATTAGAAGGTCTCCCATTTGTCGATTTAAAATATTTAGATGATAGTACGGTACCGATGTGGTCCTTATGGCACTGAATTTGAGTAGACTAATGACTAGTCGTAAACCAAAATATAGTTAGGAAATGTTCGACTGATTTGCAATTTTACAAATTTTTCAGCTACTGACAACATTTTCAATCATGAAGGCCACTACCACTTCTTACCATTTATTGAAACTCGGTGATTGCGGTGCTGTAGCCTTGTGGAATAAAATATTCTTTATGTTCTTTTCAGTTGTAGCTTATAGCTTGCAACATGGGTGAAACTGTACATATATTTGTCATCACAATTACTAAAGAATTGTTATTCCATCGTAAGACTAAGACATCTAATTCCGAATCAAATGCACAAGAATGGGCACGATGTCTTTTGAAAGTTTAAAAAATAATTAGAGATTTTTCACTAGAACATGAGTAAAAGAAAAATTTTTAGTTATTACATTTTATTATATTTTACTCAGCATATTTGTGATAATTTTATGCTACACGTCTTGTGATTACATGCCACTCAAGATGAAAGATAATCAATAATTTCAGTAAGATTTCTCAAAACAATTTTACTGAATTTTTTATCTTGCCTATTTTAACGATATGTACTTGTCAAGCTTTGTTAAAAACCCTATTTCACATGTATTGAATCAGTCATAAAAATAAGTAACTGAAATTTGGTTCAAAAGACTCATCTTAGTATATTGCTCTGATATGTATGAAATGACGAGCGAAATAATAAAAAGTACTTGTTTTTTTCTTCTAGAACCTTTGACTATTCTCTTTAATCATTGTATATCCAATGGAGAATTCCCTGATAAATATAGGTATCACTAAAGTGATACCTATATTTAAAAAAGGGGACAAAAATACCATTGACAACTACTGTCCAATGTCGATAATACCAGTTTTTGATAAGATTTTTGAAAATAATCTAAAAAACTGCTTAATTTCGTTCTTTACTATGCACAAAACGCTACATGAAGCTCAGTTCNCACAAACTTTTATCAAGAATAACTTTTTGTCCAAAAACCCTCAATAAATAAGTTTCCCATATGGTGCATACTTCGGGGATGACAATGTACATATGGGGTGTTCCATCTAAAAATGAAGAAATTGATATAGGATTGTAGGCTTTCACGGCTGGCGTCAGTGTTTTGGTTGGTTTCCGGGTTTTGCGTGGTCTTCTTTGGTTACAATTTCCAAACGTTTCAACTGCAACTGCGGCAGTCATCTTCAGTGGCGTGGTCAAAGTACTTTTGACGAATCAACTGAAACTTGTTGTTGGTACAAAAATAAGAGTTCTTCGACTACGCAACTGAAGATAACTGCCGTAATTACAGTCGAAACATTTGGAAATTGTAACCAAAGAAGACCACGGCAAAACCCGGAAACCATCCGAAACAAAGATATTGATGTTCAAAACTTTATAGAATTGATCCATTATCTGTGAACGAATAGAAAAATATTTCAAAACAAGACTTTTGAACCAAATTCCCGAAACCTTTTTTTTACGACTGATTTCAGTACATGTAAAATTGGGTTTTTCAAAGACACTGCATAGTCCACAAAAAAAAAACATAATTTTGATATACTAAATTTCTCACGGACACCCTATACCTTTGAAAATAGTTTTAAAATGCGGCCACAAGTGATTTGCATATTCGTGTTATAAAAATCATCAAAGTTATATTTTGCTTCTAGGAAGCGTCTCATCACTCGTGACTCTTTGGTAATATTGATTCTATGTCAATCGTTTGTCGAGTTTTATGTTACCATCATTAGGCTTTGTTATATAAGTTATAGGGCAACAAACGGACAGATACAACAATTTATGAACAATGGTTTATGATGAGAATTGTATTTGGTCACCTTATTGCCCTCGTCTGAGGTATAAAAATTGATTTCACTTGCTGTTTATCAACAAAACTGCTTGTTATAACTACCAATATTTACTAACTTTAGATATCCTTAATTGTTTGAATTGGTGTAATATATTTTAGAGTCTGAAAAGATGGAAGTTGACTTCATATCCATGAAAACACAACTTCTGAAAACAAGAAGAAAGGTGGATTGTACTATTACATTGGGATTAGTAAAACCTTCGCTAGAAGACGTTTTTGAATTGCCATCAGCCGATTGCAGTGTCAAGAGAAAAATTGAAGAGCATCGACTAGGGTTGAAAAATTTTAAAAAAGAAACTCATGTTATTGTAGGTAAAACCAGTCTGTTATTGTCAGTATTAAATAAGAGAAAACACAAAGTGTTACCTAAATGCAATGGGCACTCTCTTTTATGTTATAACTTATAATATTTGTTATTTTTTCTTGATTGCTGTAAAAATTCTGAGTTTGTAATATTGTTGATTTCATTAATGATATCTGCAAAAAAAATCACATATTAACAGATTTTTTTTAAAGTTGTAATAAAATGTAATACCTACCTGTCATTTGTAGTTCTGAGCCACTATCGCTTTTGGTTACCGAATTCATGAAGCTAAGCTTTCTGAGATGGACCAGCCTTGACAAAGGTAAAGACTTACCTAAAAGTCAAGAATATGCAAAAATCAGGCTAGGTGTATATAAAATCGCTCATTTTTAATTTTTACGAAAGCAAATACCTTTTATTTGGCTGATTTTCTTCAAGGCCGTCAACTCGATATCACAACTTTCAGTTTTCAATGAACTCCGGTGTAATATACTTGAATCTTTTAAAATTTGTTTGCCTCTGCTGATCAGGTGATCTAAGAAGGGATTTCCTATCAATTGTATGTTAGCTTCATCAATCTGGCGTTCTGAAACTATAATCAAGGGATTCTTCAAGAAGACTTCAATCGATCACTGTATTTTATTGTTCAAAAATATTTCATATTGGCAAAGCATATGTATACAATATGAATGCACGAGACTAAATTATATATCAAAGTTGTACATTTTTTTTTGTTCACTTCAATAGTTTTTTTTTGCAGAAGTCTGAATAATAATAATATGATTAAGTTATTGCTGAAGTCAATAAATTCACTTTCGATAAGATATTTTTCTCACAAAATTTTATTAAGTTGAAAGTGAATGGAATCTGCAACTTTACAAGGTTGCTAATAACCATAATTATTCCCAGGTGGTGCGAGAAGTTATTAACAGAACCTAGTACCAGTAGCTACTGACCACAGCAATCGAAGCTGCTGATACCAAAAGAAATATGTTATTTTATATAAATCGTTCTCAATATTTTCTTTGAAGAGTCCAACTCCTTTCTTTTTCACATAAAAGTGATATAATCGGTAAACAGTGTAATTTTTTTGAAGATCATTCACAGATAAGTGAAATTTGGACTAATCTTTGATATCTCCTTGGTTAGTGAAGCACACGTCGAGAAACAGCAATTTTGTTTTGGTGAGAGAAACGTGTTTCCAATAGGTTCACATATATAATGAACAAATATGACCCAGAACACATCTTTAGGAAACTCTGTTGCATATTTGGGAAATATTGGATGTTTTATTTGCTACCCTACAGAGGTTGCGCTAGTTATTGAAAGATTTGCTGAAATGAGAGAATCAAAATTAAAGCATCAAAGATTATATCAGAAGTTTCAAAGAATCCATAACATATTGAAGCATAGAAACTATTGAAAAAAAATTAAATTTCACATACAAACATACAAATACAAAAATATTGAAGTATCAGTCTCAGTATTACTGAAAATGGAGCTGAACCACTATCCGTAGTCGGATAAAAAGTACCTAGTGAAATTAAAAGTATGAGTTAACTAGTGTCCTTTGTCCCGAAAAAATCAAGTATAGAACAAAAGTAAGTAATGGAAATGATTATAAATAAGACATAGCAGTACCTTGAAAGTAAAACAGAGTTCAGTAATTGAAATGAACAATGATTCATTTGATATCAAAGAAATATATTGATTTAAAACAAATGTATGTTTGCTAACACTTGATCAAAACTATTATATCATATATCACAACGATTCAGTTAACCATAATTCTGATTACGGTTTAATAAATTATTTCATCGTATTTATTCCATTAATTGTTATTAGATACTAATCTATTCAAATCATCTTTTCTTCCTTCAACTGAACCAACCTATGAATTAACCATATCTTTTTCCCTTCTAACTTGTATATTTATATTAGTCTAAGAGCCAGTGAGCGGCTACCTGCATGTATTTGACCAGACTCAGGTTTTTGTACATTGAGGCCCCAATACCTACCGTACATGATATGGAACCTCACTAAGCCCAAAGTGGTGGACGCGGTGAGTGCGCAGGTAGGACAGGTATCAATTTTTTAGTAATTCTAAATGCATTTGACGACGTTTGCCGTTTTGATATTTTGAAATATATTATTATTGTGAACGGAAAATAATAATGGCTGAACATTACCTCGCGTTCAACATTGTGGCAGACATATTTGAAAATGTTAAAAATAAATATTTTTGAAAGTAATTGACGAGATCTGCCATTGATACATTTCACTTATTATAGTTTCAAAAACTCACATTAATTAGGGCAGAAGTTTTTAGTGCGTACAAGCATCAGCAAATAACAAAATCTGAGATACTACCCGGCCAGATGTCTATGTATTACGATAACTGTTTTACATCAAAATAATGTATTTATGATTTACTTGATCACTCCAAAGTATTACTATTGTACTCATTCTAGCCTATAACATTTTTTCTGATATTTTCTACCTGTTATTTGAATAATATAAGATTTATACCAGAGAGGGCTCTATTATAATCCCAAATCTAATGGTTTCCGTCAGATGTTTTTAGTATATTTGTCAACCTTCATATAGATGCCTCGTGTTGCGTGAATTTAAAAAAATTGATAGTGTTGCTTTATTTTATTCATTGGATTATTAATTGTTGAATATTTTTGATATTATGTCGGGTGAAATAGATAAAGTGCAGTGTGTTTTTTGTGACACATCAAAAACTGAAAAATTAATAATATTTTCGGGAGAGACTATGGTAAAATGTCGAAATATTTTGAGGTTACGAAAACTTCATAAATTGAAGTACAACGATGTAATTTTACCGGAAGATTTTTTTGATGCCGGCTATCAAAGTAGTTGTTATAATACGTTTACAGCTTTAGAAAAACATTTTTTTTGACAGATGCCAACAAAAAAGTTTCATTACAAAGTACGTCGTCGTCTGCGACTGAACAACCATCAACATCAGTTAATAGTTCAATAATTGATGATCCAATGGTACAGGATTCCGTTTTGAATGACGTGAACGTTACTGAGATAGATGAAGTTGTAGAAAAAAATATTGGCGTCGCAGTAGATCAGCCGTTCGAGGAAAGACAATTGGAAGATTCAACAGAACCATTAACTGTTCAGAATCCTGAAACTGTGGCTTCAGCAAACCTGAATTTGTGCTTTTTTGTGATAAAAGAAAAAAACAATATAAGTCTAAGAATGAGCCGTTACATACTTCAAAAAAAAATCAATTTCAAACAAATATTTTATCAAAGTTGGAACCAGATTCTGAAATTCACAATAAAACTTTGATAAAAATACAAAGTGTTGCCTCTGATGAAGTATACCTACTATCATGATTTTTGTCGACAAAAATTTAGAAATCACAAACGGTCACTGGTGTGCAGTGATTAAGTGAATCATAAATACATTATTTCGATGTAAAACAGTTATCGTAATACATAGACATCTGGCCGGGTAGTATCTCAGATTTTGTTATTTTCTGATGCTTGAACGCACTGAATACTTCTGCCCTAATTAATATAAGTTTTTGAAACTATAATAAGTAAAATGTATCAATGGCAAATCTCGTCAATTACTTCAAAAAAATATTTTTTTTTACATTTTCAAATATTTCTGCCACAATGTTGAACGCGAGGTAATGTTCAGCCATTATTATTTTCCGTTCACAATAATGATATATTTCAAAATATCAAAACGGCAAACGTCGTCAAATGCATTTAGAATTACTAAAAAATTGATACCTGTCCTACCTGCGCACTCACCGCGTCCACCACTTTGGGCTTAGTGAGGTCTCATATCATGTACGGTAGGTATTGGGGCCTCAATGTACAAAAACCTAAGTCTGGTCAAATACATGCAGGTAGCCGCTCACTGGCTCTTAGACTATATGCTTCAATTGGCCAACAGAAATCATACAGAGTCAGTTATATGGTGTGACCGTTCCTAGAAAAAGTCTTTATATTCTTAAGCATAAAGGAGGGTCAACAAGTCACTAGACCATACAATTTTTAAAGTGTCTTTTGAAACTTTCCAACTAGCATCAGAAAAAAGCAAAATCATAACTGTTTCAAAAATGATAACTTGGAAGTTTGAAAACCTTGACTAAACCTGGCATTTTCATTTTGCTTTTTTGTATAGTTACTAAAAATTAAAGGGAAATATTAACGTCAATACTTTTGAATACATTTACCTGTGGTGGTTGGACTTTCATTTTCATCATTTTCTAAAAAACATTTCCATACATTTTTAATTGTGGTCAGAAGTATCTTCCCTCTCTTCAGGATCCTCAGATTATTATTTTCTCCATCAGGTAATATTTCCGAAGCTGAATGTAATTCATGAAAGACTGAAAATTAATTCCGTTTGATTACTGCTTCATGCTTTGTATTTCAACAAACCGTTTTTGAAATCTTGATATTCTTTCTTTGTTTTTTCAGTGATAGGTTCCTCTTGCTCATTCAGTATCACCTCCATAAAGTCTTTCAAAACCATGGAATGTTTTAAAATATTTTCTAGAAGTACTTTATCCAACAAAGAATTCCGAGATTTAACTTTATCAGAAATATCCTCAAGCAGTGCTTTATTTTCTTCATAAATTACCTATGGAAATTTATCAATCACATTCAACGAAGTTGGGGAAATATGAATCTTTTAGGTTTTTCATAACTGATAATAATACATTTAGTAAAACTCAAGAAAAAGTTTGGACTGATTTACCTGGCAGAATGCAATTGGATCAATGATTGAAAAAATTAGCTTCTTCAAGATTAGCGCTTGATTCATCCAATGTTCTTTGAGCAAGAGTGTTTGATTTATACTACGTGGAGATGGATCTATCAGAACTGAAGTGAATGAAGGAACTAATTCGATTTCTAAGGCTTCCAAACTTGCTAAACAACTTTTAATTTTTGTACAGTCTGTAAAAACATAATTGTGTAACAGCAAATTATATTCAACATTGGAATCACATAATTCAAACAGTGACACAATTAAGGTTCACTTCATAAATTCTATGAAATATTTATAAAATAGTAGAAATAGTTATTGATTTGAAATGGGCTGTGTAAGCTTAATAATGATAATAAGTGAAGTTTAATGAAGTTAAATTATAATTTGACTAGATCATTCCAACTTTTCAACAAATTTACTTTAGTCTTGAATTTTTATAGGGTATGTGTTCAATATATACTATAAATTGAAGTCTCCTGTCTTATCTGTCTGACTGAACATGATGAACTCAAAACTACTGAACGGATTTCCATATGGTTTTCACCTATGGACGAAATGAATCAAGAAGGTTTATGTGTGTAATTTATTAATGTTTTGTGTGAATTGGTTCAGATAAGACGATGTTATCCATGAGCGGTGGTGCTACCCATACGAGCTTTAATCAAACATGAAGTCAATTCCCTTTTGAGATATAGCAGAACAATTTACTACATATTGTTCTTCTTTTGTAGATCTACAAAAAGTTCACGATGGCCTATGTCTTTCTTCTAATGATAGCTTACTATACCCATTTTAATGTTTCAAATAATCATTACATAAAATGTGGTAATTGTAAAACTATTTAGAAAAATACGTTAGCTGTCTTGAGCACTCCATGTACATCATGGACGTAAAAATGAAAGAGACACAGCATAATTACAGTATACACAGTATAATCACCCCATTAACTGAAATCGACGTTCCGGAAGGTTGCTGTTGTCACTTCGAATCTGTGATAATTCTTTAATACCCACCAATGACAAGACCTAAACTTTATCGCCAACGAGTTCAATTCAGTAACTTAAAATTACGACCTTTTTCATGAAATAAAAATCGACATCAAACATTTCAGAGTCTAAACTAGTGTAATGTGCGTTAAAAATCGTTTTATGTTTTCAAATAATTCTGGATAATTCCTTGCAAATCCACACGTGGCAATGCTGTTTACAAATTTCACGTTTATTTTGACATTGTTGTTTACGTGTGATATTTATTCAAATAGTATTTTTTTATTTGTATTTCAATTACATGTAGTGAAAGAATAATAGATAGTAATAATGGTGCTTAACTGTTAGGTTTGTGAGCAATCCAATTGCTCTAACCAAAATTTAAGCTGTCATAGACGAGTACTAACAATATTAAGTTTGTTGCTCATTGGCGTAGCAATGGGTATAAAATTTATAAACAATCGTTTTTATGATGAAGACATCATAGGTTATTCATTAGAGCTGTTGAAACTAATTTTGACTGAATCTTTCGAAATTAGAATCCATCATGAGGTATCTAGAGAATTAGATACGTCAACAAAACGAACCAGGATCATTTAAACAATAACTTTTTTCGTAATCAATAAAATAATAGTATATACAGGCTGATTCACGGTGGATGGCACATTAGACGTTTCTGGTGAACCAGACAACGGATCACTTTGAAAATTTAATGGAGGGCATATTCGGACATTCTCTAGCCAACTAAAATATTTTCGACAATGCGGTGTTGCCGCTTCTATTAGAAAGCAGTAGCAACTTTGATTTTTCAAATG